CCTCTCTGGGCTTCCTTATTTAATGTCCAACTTTCCCAGGCGTATGAGGAAAGGGAGAATACCATGGGCTGGGTCAGGCAAAGTCCTCAGAGTGACATCCTTGCTCTTCAAAACTCTAAAGAGGTCTTGGGCAGCAGCTTTTCCCGAGGCAATGCACCTTGTAATCTCTTGACTGCTGGGTCCGTGAGCTCTATGTATCCTAGCAAGATGGTGTCCTTAAGCACTTTAATCTTTTCACATGATGCTCCCTACTGGTGCGACTGCGAGGATTTTGGTTTTCTTTACATACTAAAGGCTGAAATCCTTGACCTTCATCCCAAGTGCTTCAAGTCCTCTTCACTGTCAGCAAACAAGGTTGTGTCAACTGCATCTTGCAGGTTGTTCAGAAGCCATCTTCAAATCCTGATGTGACACACTTCTTCATACAATCCAGCTTCTCTGATGACTTGCTCATCATATAGCTTGAACAAGTATGGTGAGAGGCTACAACCTTGTTGCACATCTTTGCGGATTTTAAATCATGCAGTATTTCCTTGTTATGTTCATGCGACTGCCTTTGATCTGTATACAAGTTCTGCGTGAGCACAACGAAGGGTTCTAGAATTCCCATCCTTCTCAAGATTATCCGCAGTTTATTATGGTTCACACAGTGGAATGCCTTTGCATAGTCAATGAAACACAAGCTAACATCTTTCTGGTAATCTCTGCTTTGAGCCAAGAGCTGGCCTGAACTTCTGGCAGTTCCCTGTAAATGCACAGCTACAACTGTTGTTGGATGATATTCATCACAATTTTACTTGTGTGCAATATCAGTGATATCATTCTATAGTTGGAGTATTCTTTGGAATAGATGCAAATATGCGTCTCTTCCAGTCAGTTGGAAAAGTAACTGTCTTCCAAATTCCTGGCATAGACAAGTGAGTGTTTCCAGTGCTTCTTCAGCTTTCTGAAACATCTCAATGGGTCATCAATTCCTGGATTTGTGTGTTTGGCTAATACATTCAGTGCAATTTAAACTTCTTCCTTCAGCACCATTGGCGCCTGCTCATATGCTGCCTCCTGAAATGGTGGAGTGTTGACTAGTACAGCTACCCTCTGCATTCTTTCTATCTTCTCTTGATGCTTCCTGCATCATCTAACATTTTGCCTATAGAAACTTTCAAAATTACAACTCGAAGTTTGACATTTTTCTTGAGTTCTTTCAGTTTCAGACATGCTGAGTGTGTTCTTCCCTTTTGGTTTTCAAGTTCTAGGTCCTTGCACATTTCATTATAATATTTGGCTTTGTCTTCTCAAGCTGTCCTTTAAATTTTTCTATTCAGCTCCATGACTTCATCCTTTCTTCCGTCTACGTTAGCCTAGTATATTCATAAAAATACAAGGGATGGGAGAAGGCAAAATGCTCTTTTCCTCCTGATCAGTCAGGGAACATGAGCAGACTAGGTTGGGGTGGAGGGTGGACATGTTGATAACTATAGGTCTCTTACTATCTGCTGGAAAACAAGACAGAAGGGAGAGAAATCAAGTTCCATGGAGTGGGGAGGGCAAGACAGGCCAGGACATTCCACAAGCCCTCCCTGAGGCCCGTGCAGAGTCCAGGAGATCCAGGATGCCTTCACACGGACACCAGTCCTGAAGCACAGCCTCAAGATCAAGTCAAACTACCAGTTTGCCAGCGGTTGGTGGTGATCAGCTGCCACCATGAACTGCGAGAAGATATTTGCATCCTCCGAGAGGCCACAGGACAAGGAAGTGTTCTTCCTTTGGCTGGGTTATTTCCAGGTCATGTGGGAGAAGGCACAGCATCCAGAAATAGTTAAGAAATCCAAACCTGCTGAATGTGCCTCGAATACTTGGGGGTTCCACTGTAAGGTCTCTTTCGAGGCTTAGAAAGGAGGATGGTGCGACATCATCTTATGGACTTTGGGCATGTTCTCAGAGAACACAGTCCCTGGAAAAGGACGGCACACTGGGTTAAAGTAGAGGAGCACCAAACAAGAGGAAGCCCCTCAACAGAGTGGCTGCAAAGATCG